GTAGTAAGATACCATCCTGACTTTCAACATGTTCAGTGTTAGAAAAAGTGCCTTCAAATCATTGAGCAACTACTATGTGCCAGGCATTGTGCTCTTTTAGCAATTCTACTGAATTTTCCCAGGTAATCTACTTGCAAGTAATAAATGTAATGGCTGAGAGGATTAGTGCCAGGGCCAGGCTAACTGGGTTTCAAATATTGCCTCTGTAACTTACTATGTTACTTTGGACATATTTCTTAACTCTTATCTGTAATATAGGAAAAAGCGGGATAATTCATGTACAGTACTTAGCACACAGTAAAACTCAAAAATGGTGTCATGTTGTTTCTGTTGTTATTAACTGAGCTAAGAGCTGGATCCTTTTCTTCCCATATGCTCATGAAGCAAATACCTGTATCTTCCCAGATAGTGAAAAAGTATTCATTCTGGAAATAGAATCTCTTTTAGTTCTAATTCCTTATTGTTCTAAAATATACCAGATTATCCCATCCTGCCTTGAGTGTACTGTTTCACTAAAGGACAGGAACCATCAATACTCATGATCAGGGAACTCAGAGAAAATACGGTGTTTAAAAAAGGAAAAATGTCTTCATAAAAGGTTTAACATTCAGGCTACTCAACACTCTGTCCTCCACTTTATTTATTTATTTATTTTTGTGCATCCCTCTCCCTACATGCACTTGGACGTCTGTGGGTTAACATCTAACAAAAGCTTCAGGAATTAAAAGGTCTGTAAAAATGGGGTACACTCGGGGCTGTTTAGGGGCTAGGCAACAGATTATGACACCTGAGGGAGAAAGTGAGCCTTCTTCCCATTTCTGCACAAATTACCCAGCCTTCCGCAGGTTCGTGAAGGTCACCGGTGCATCTAAGACACTGGGGTGTCCAGGGAGCTGTGGCACGGCACTGGTGAGGAGTGCAGTTATGCCCATGGGAATTCTGGAGTTGGCAAGGAAGCCCACATCATAGGACGCTACTGTGTCATGGCCAGAGGGAGAGGATTTATGGGTGGTCACTTAGAAGAAATGATGAGTCAGTAATAAATTAGTTTTTTTTGGTTTTTGTTTTGTTTTGTTTTGTTTTTTAAATCTTAGGCTGGGCACTTTTGGGAAGCCAAAGCAGGAGGATCCCTTGAGGTCAGGAATTTGAGACCAGCTTGGGCAACACAGTGAGACCCCTGTCTCTACAAAATAATTTAAAAATTAGCCAGGTGTGGGGGCAGGCACTTGTAGTCCTAGCTAATTGGGAGGTTGAGATGGGAGGATCGCTTAAGCCCAGGAGTGCAAGGATTACAGTGAACTATGATTGCACCACTGCACTCTTGCCTGGGCAACAGAGTGAGACCCGGTCTTTAAAAAAAGAAATCTTAGAAACTCCAGGAATACTTCAAGGATGGCTTTTACAAGGGACTAGGGTCCTTATGCTACACTACACAGGAGAAATGTTTAAGCAGCCAAATATATAAATTATAACTATTAATGTGACTCTATTTATTTCAAGCCATAGTCTGGAGGCCTGGTAAAATCTGGTTATTTTTGTATTATATTCTTAACCCACTCCCACCACTGTTCATTGCCCTTGAGATCCTTGAGGACAGAGACTGCTAATTTAAAAAAAATTTCTGTAGCCCTATCACCTAGCAGAAGATTCAGCACAGAGTAGGTACTCAATATATGACTGTTGAAGGAAGGAATAACTGTCTTCAAGGAACAAATTTAGAATAAACAGATAGAAGTTACAGGAACATAATTCAACATAAAATGCCTTTCTAACTACTAGAACTGCTTATAAATGCAAGAAGTCTATCATGATATAGTGAGAATCTTCTCACTAGAGATGTTGCCAGTGATACCCTGGAAGAAGAGCACACCTCACGGAGGGAGATAGATCAAATCATTTCCAGCTCTTGAATTGGTTGGTACTTATCGCATGGAAACCAACAGGAGGAGACTAGTTATGACAAAGCCGTGAAAGATACTAAGCAGAAGTGATGAGTCAGCACAACTGGTTTTATTAAAAAATGGCTTCAAGGACTATCTATACAAATCAGCAAGCCTCAAGCCAGAGTTCATCAGAATTGAAATAGTACCCTGAAACATTGTTACAAGGAGCCATAGAAATTGTCTTCTAAAAATTACACTATTATAACTCTCACTGATGTTCAGAGGACTGAAGTATCTAATAGACATCATCTATAGTGAAGATGTTAAATGATGAAATGTTAAAGGAAAGATCAGGCTGTGATTTGTAGACTCATAGCCCATTTCAATGTCCCTTCCATGTCACTGGTGAAGTAAATTCTGAAGTCACTTGTCTTGGATCCTTTAACTTCCAATAAATGACTGAAGGAACTCAGATCTACACAAGGAAAATTACTGGACAATGATGGAAAGGTCTTCTGAGATAAATGAACATTCCACATTAATTTAAAAGCCATAAATAGAATGATGAATAGGACTATCTCATAATGTCAAAGTTCAAAGGCACTTTTCAAATTTCTCTTTAAAGAAAACCTGACCTTTCTTTCTTTCTTTCTTGTATTATCAGAAAGTTTGCCAAGGGCAGTCTAGGTCTTGGATCATTTCATTTTGACATGGAAGTTCTCCTAGCATTAAAAATAATAAAAAAAAAAAAACAGAAGTACTTAACTCTGAAGTGACCATGAGAATGTGTTCAGCAGTATAAAAAAATAACAATAGTGAAGCATTAGGACTTCAAAGTTTGTGTTTTAATAACTCCATAAAACTTTCCCCCTCATATATGAGAGATAGCTAAAGATATCAGCATGAATAGATACTTTTCTATTGTATTCCACGTTGTTTTACAACATTCTATTTAGGAAAATTGCTGAGTATACCACTAGTAACTTTCTATGCTTAAATATCTTTGCTGGATATAGATTAGCTGGCATTAAATATAGATGTGAACATAAATACATTTTTATGAATATAAAACATCTTACCAAAGAGCTCTTTTTCCCAGTTAAATTTCCATTTTAAAGTATTATTTACAGACAGTAAAATTCACCCGTTTTGGGGTAGATTTCTGCAAGTTTTGACAGATACAGTTGTATAATCACCACTGCAAGCAAGACACAGAGTGTTTCCATCTCAACCCTCTACCCCTTTGAAGTCAACCCCTCTCTTCATCTCCTCCCCTTGGCAATTACTGATTTGCCTTCTCTTCCTATAATTTTGAAGTTTGAAGAATGTCCTGTAAATGGAGTTATATAGTATGTAGCAAAGGCCTTTTTTAAACTTCGTGCCCTTGATAAAAAGTAATTTACTTTTTATTTTTATTTACCAGTTTCTATTTCCTGAATTTAAAGCAATAATAGATATAAAAATCAAATTACTCTTGAGTATTACATCTTGAAATAGGTATTACCCAGAGGGCCTTTAGAACTTATAGACCTTTAGGACTTCACTTCCAAAGTAGTGAATCAGAATCTCTCAGTGTGTGTCCTGAGATTTTAGTTTCTACTAAACTTTCTAAGCCTAATTCTGACTGACCCATTAGATTTAGGAAACATTAATCCGACACGTATTCACTAGATGAGATCAACAACCAGATTGTAAATGACGTGTAGCTATGGAATCAAAGTTCAGAAGTTGGGAGAGTCTTATCTAGGTGATCTTGTCCTTGGTGGCTACCACTTACTGGCTGCACGGCCTCAAACAAGTTACTTAAACTTGATGAACCGTGGTTTTCTCTTTTATAATATGGGGAGAATGCCTGCTTCAAAAGATTGTTTGGTGGATTAAATGCTTATAAATCATTTAGCATGCTACATGGAACACATAGCAGCCAAAGAATTCAGGTTGCTCATATTTTAGTATCAACATCATCATCATTGTCATCATCATCATACTGCCCTGAGTGCTTTATGATTCTTTCTCCATGTCTGCATTTTGGTTAATTTCACTATTTTTTAACCCTTCCTCTAGAGGCGACCACAGAGAATTTTTGTAGCAACACAGCTATTATTCAAGGCAGCAAAAAGCTAACAGAAATTCACTGATTGCTTGCAATCATCATTTCCACCCTGTTATAGCCTCAAAGATGCCAATGAGAACAAGAAGTGAATCACTGGAAACTCTCAGTCTTTTTTCCAAGGGGATGTTATTGGCCAAGTATGGACAAACAAGAGGGAGGAAGAGAAACAAAGAGCCAAAATAAAGCAGAAAATTTGGCTGTCTGTACAGCTAAGATATATGTAAAATTTTACTTGATTTATTAGAAGATTTAGTCAAATATGTGATGTGAAAAGAAACAAACTGAAACTGTTGGCTTAACAAAAACAGGTTTGCTCTAGTACTATTCCATGTCAACTTACCTAAATAACTTGGATTCAAAGTTCAGGAGTCAGCAGAATATCTTAAGATTTATTTCAAAACATTACAAGGTGGCCGGGCACAGTGGCTCACATCTATAATGCCAGCACTTTGGAAAGTCAAGACAGGCGGATCACTTGAGGTCAGGAGTTCGAGACCAGCCTGGCCAACATGGTGAAACCCTGTCTCTACTAAAAGTACAAAAATTATCCAGGTGTGGTGGCACACCCCGGTAATCCCAGCTACTCAGGAGGCTGAGGCAGGAGAATTGCTTGAACCCTGGAGGCAGAGGCTGCAGTAAGCCAAAATTATGCCGCTGCACTCTAGCCTGGGCAATAGAGTGAGACTCCATCTTAAAAAACAAAACAAAACAACAACAACAAAATTTTACAAGGTTCAGGGAAAAGAGGACTAAAAGCTAAAGGCAACATTTTAATACTATTACAAGTACAAAAATTTGGCCCTGAAAACTGATTGCAAGCTAGATGTATATGTATTTATTTTTAAGCTATAGTTTTAATTTAAGGCCTGAAACACAGAAGAGTCATGTTATTTGGTTGTACTTGCTAATATAAAGAACTACTACTATCTTCTAAGAATTATGCAATGCTGCTAACACCAAGGACCAAAGAACATCAAAAGATGCATGAACCCCATAAGCCCTACCTGTTCTCAGCATCAGCACTGCACTTCGGGGACAGCAATTCAAAGGATTTGGTAAATTTCACCACCTGTCACATAGAAAGATAATAAATCCAGGTCAATTAAAGCTTTATTGCAGTTTAAAATAATGTAATAAACATTTTCATCTTTATAATGATTATAATAGTTGGAGATTAAAGAGAGATTTTAAGTGGAGAAATACCAAGAGAGAGTAGAAGAGGAGAATCCCATCCTACACTTTGTATTCCATTTCTTACAAAGCATACATTGTCGAAGTTTTAATATATTTCACTAAACATGTACATATTTTTACAATTATGTGTCCAATGAGCTATGGAGGTCAGGTAAAGGAAAATCCCATCCGAATACTTAAAAAGAAAACTGTTCTTTTAACAACCCAATCAACAGCAATAGAGACCCAGGTAGGGACAGAACACCCCTCAAAGAAGATGCCCTCTGCCAACTCCAGGCTCCTGGAATTAGCTCATTAATAAGCTTGGCTCATCACTGTTCTCAGGTGAACTTTGTGGTGCCACTACCTAAAGGAAGAAGAGGAAGCCACCTTCTTCAACAATCATTCTTGTGTGGACACTGCCTTTCTCTCCTCTCCAGTGAAATCAGCATACCAGTGCGAGAGTTGACCAAGACTTATGTTGAGGAAGAATTTATGGGAAAAGAAAATGTCAATGTAGTTTTTCTTCTTATTAGCTAATATTGAGTTTATACTGTAAACCAGGCCCTACAGCAGAAGCTTCTTTGAGTATTTGTTTATTATAAATCTAAAGTAAAGAATTTTATACTCAGTCTATAGATGAGGAAACTAACTCCTAATTTTTAAGAGACGTACTCAGTTTCACACAATTAAATAAGGCAACTGGCATGAAAGAAAATCTCTGATGCTAGAGTGCTAGCTCTTTCAACACTACAAATGTTGAGTGAGAAAGGCACTATTTCTGGCCCTTGTAAGAGTGGACAGAAACTTTTCCTTCTACCCTCTGAAGGTTTGCTGAAATAAACTGACAATAGACAGATTAACAGGGGAACAAGCATACAAATGTACTAATGTGCAGAAGCACAGAAGCCATATAAAATATGAGACTCAAAGGAGGGCCAGATGGCTGAAGCTTAAATAGCATCCTCTTTATAGGGGAGACGGATGGGGGATGTAGGCAATTCTGAGGGATAGAAAAAATTTTCAGAGGAATTAAATGAGCCCAAAGAACAGACAATGACCAGGGACAAAGTTTCTTTGAGCTCTGGAGGAGGTTTCAAGAAGGTAAGGGGTGGATCTTCACTGTGAACAAAAGTTCTCTCTTTTTTTTGGACAGGTTCTCACTCTGTCACACAGGCTGGAGTGCCGTGGCCTGATCTCAGCTCACTGCAGCCTCCGCCTCCTGGGTTCAAGTAATTCTCCCACCTCAGCCTCCTAGGTAGCTGAGATTACACGGGTGTGCCATCACGCCCAGCTAATTTTTGCATTTTCAGTAGAGAGAGTTTCACCATGTTGGCCAGGCTAGTCTTGAACTCCTGACCTTAGATGATCCACCAGCCTCGGCCCCCCAAAGTGCTGGGATTATAGGCATGAGCCACCAAATCTGGCCAAAGGTTATCTTATTATGCAGATAAAGTCTCCCAGGTAATCTCTCAGAGTGCCCTCAGAAGAACAGATGGAAAGTCTGTCTGGGCATGGGGACATTCCTCAGTCTTCCTTCCTGTGATATGAGAATAGTATTCTCTGGTTAATAAAATTTCAGGGAGGGGATGGAAGAGAGTTCCACCTTGTACTTGTGAGGAGGAACAAGAAAGGTTAGAAAGTTCTTGGTTCCGAGGGGACTCAAGTTTAAGGCCTTTTAATTTCCTTTAGATCAATGTGCTCAGTATGCCAAGGCACCATGCTTTGAAGTATCTTTTTCTGAGCCCCAATATCCTCTTTTGGCAAAATATACCACATGATAGAAAAACAAGCCCCTGTAGAGAAAGGAGTCCATCTGAATGTCATAGAATGCTTCCAAGGTTGACATTTAGATTTACCTTAGCCATATGTCATGCTTCAAAGGCCTTTTAAATTAACCACTTACAAGGAATTGATGGGCACCTGAAAAAATGATTTGGAAACTAGGAATAGATTAAACATTAAAACAGCTTTATCAGTGAGGTAATGAACTCAAGCTAGGCAAATGCAATATTAGGGAAAAAATAGAAAAGAAAAGAAAGGCTCATCACAAAGAAAATTGTGTGTGACTAGATGAATGTAGGGCAATGACAATAGCTCGACTGCAAGGAAATACCCTTGGCAACCATAGAACATATTTCATTTCATATTGTAATATGAATTAAGCCACTGCAGAATCACTCATTGCAGTAAATTTTATTTTCCAAAGATGGTCACAACAATATCTCCTACCCCATATTCTTCTCTTCCATGTGACCCTGCCACTTTCCTACCAAGTGGTAGGATCTATGTCCCCTCTCGTTAAATCCGGTGGGCTTCTGAAAGCTTCACCAAATAGAGCATATGGAAGAGGTGCTACATGCCTTCCAAGGTTGTTGTAAAATGCAACACAGCTTCTGTCTTGCCTGATGAAATATGTGTGTCTGGAGTCCTCAGTCACCATGCGAGAAGTGCAACTGCCCTGAGGCCACTATACTGAAAGGGAGCCAAACCACATAGAGAGACCATTTTCCTGCAAATGAGGGATTTTGCACACATTATAAACAATCCTTTATGTATGTATCAATGCTTACAACATCCCAGAAGGTAGATATTACCCTCATTTTACTGATAGCAAATTAAGGCTTAGGGGGTTAAGTGGTTTGCTGGAAGCCATGTTGTTCTGAGTCCATAGGTCCAGTGATCCCACTTCTCACTGCTTTAATAAGCAAGAGCAAGTGTTATTGTAGCAGCAAATTATTTGAACATGACTCCTTCAAAACCAGAATACTTAAACTGTGCTTTTATTTATTAATTCTACAAATATTTATTGAGTACCTCCTATATGCCCAAATTTGAGTAAACACAGACTAAAAAGTAACTTGAAGTAAAACACTTGGCTTGGTATAAGATTAATCAAATTATCAATAAACTGTTAATTGTTTCTGCATTTGAAAATTGAGCAGGACATATTTTTTAATTCCTGATCTGACAGATGAGATTAAATTCTCCAATATTACTAAGAATGCTTCATTTGGCCTACTTCTTACTATTGTTTAGAATAATTTACAACTTGGTAAGAGTAGATGTTAATTTCTGCAAATCTGACAGCAATGCAAATAAATTTTATCCAAGTAAAGATGCAAATGATTTCTGTGCAGGAGAAAAGAAAAGCTCAATGGTTACAATTGTATTATCCTGACTGGTAGTAACCATTTTAAAAAGCTCATCTAGCAATCTTATGCTGGCATTCTTTCAGTGCCTGTTTTAGAACCAACTTTGCCACCCTGCTGTTTCTCTTTTTAATGAGTTAAACAAATCTTTGATACACGCTTGCTTTAGATTTCTGCAAAAGTTAAATTTTTAACTTTTTGAAAATTATCTTTCAATACAACAAATAAGTACTGTCTGTATGTGTCAAGCAGTGTAGTATACGCTGGAGTTACAAATGTGAAAGTAAAAGAAAATAAAATCTCTACAGTTATGGAGCTTGCTTTATAGTATGAAGCTTAATTTGCCCTGGCCTCTCAAAACTAGCGCTCCCTAGAAAAAATAAGTGCACTTCTGGTTTCAAATCTTAAGAAAACAGATGTGAGAAATGTCTAGAGAATGAAAGAAAATAAAGATCTTTTAAAAATATTTTTCCATCTGAGCAATAGCAACTGAGGGATATAAGAAATGGAATAGGAAATAATGGCGTTTTAAAGCCATAGAACCTATAGATCTACAGAGAATGGATAAGATATATAAATGTCTCTTAATGAAATGACAGAATGTTTTAACTCTTGAAACATAAAAGAAGTTGGAAAAACTACTAAAAAGAAAAAACACTTTTTTCTAAAATGTTAGAACATTTTACTCCAACATAAATTACAGGCTGAGAAGAAAAACAGGGACAAAACTTGTATTTGTTTTGTTTTCTACATTCATTTTTAATGTGTAAGGGGAAAGTCAAGGACTATGTATCATTCAACTTCAGCATTCCATAGAATGCATTAGCTGTGTCCCCCAATAAACTGGCTTATGGTGCCATGATCAAAGTCAGACACTGTATTCATGAACCACAATTGACCTTGCATGTAGAAAAGAATTGAACCCTCCCTTAAGAGAGGTCTGGCCTTTGTCTTTGGCTCCTGAGAGGTAATCTCTAAACCCCTGGAATGTCCTGCCTGATTAATGTGCAAAGATTAACAATGTGATTTAGAATAGGGGCTTCAAGCCACACCAACAATATGATTTGGGTGGGAGCTTTGGGTCACATGGTATCAGTTGACCACTGGAGGAATGGAGTCAGAGGTCAGTCGCATGGGCAGCCAACCCCATTTTTGTGATCAAGACCCAATAAAGACTCTAGACATTAAGGCTCAGGCCCTGTTGGCAAAATTTCACGCATCTTGTCACACATGATAGCCAGGAGACATTCACACTATCCATGACTCCATGAGCAGAGTCCACATGTGGAATTTTCCTAGACTCTGCCCCATGCTAATGTTAATCTGTATGATTTCCTGTAGTAAACTGTAACTGTGAGTGTAACAGCTTTCGCTGAGTTCTTTGAGTCCTTCTAGCAAATTATTGAAACTGAGCATGGTCTTGGGAACTCCAAAACTCATAACTGGTGTTAGGAGTGAGGGAAGTATTGTAGACTATGTTCCCTAACTTTACACTTATATGAATTCTTAGGTTCTTGTGTCTTTAGAAGAAAAATGAAAATACTCATCTTCATTAGTGTCTATAGAAGAAAAATGAAAATACTAATGTTTACTGATCTCTGGTTAAATATTGATTATCCAGTGTGTATAAAATACTGGATAGCATAGGAAGATACCAAAGAAATAATAAGTAAGGTCTCTAACCTTTTAAGACTTAACATTTGTGATGGTTAATTGGTATATGTCAACTTGACTGGGTTAAGGG